CTATGTACCAAAGTACTAGATCCGGCGTTCCATACATACGCTGAGTTTCACTGATGTCCGGTGAAGACGCTGAACATCACTTAGTTAGTTGTTAAACATTCAAGATGGCGGACGCAGATGCGGTCCTCTTTTAAAATTAATTTCATCAGTATACTGCTCACATTTCGCTATTTGACTAATCGTGTGAACATAAATTAAAAGTTTTAAATTATTTACATAGATTCGGTAAGTAATGTTGTGGTTTTTGTTTAATTTGTGCATTATAATATTTGATAATCGCTAAACAGTATACAAAATTTCACACTATCCATCAGTTTTGCAAAATGACGCGTGGTAAAACAAGACAAAACATAAATCATAGGTTAATAAGCAACAGAGTGTTCTGACTACACAATAACAGAGTATGTTTAATACGATTATAACAATTCGTAGGGTCACCACATGAATTTAAAAAATATAAAAAAGATTAGGCTCAACGATATCTATGCACTTGACTAGGCAATGCTTTCCGCAAGGAAAAATACATAAAATAACATCAATAATTCCAACAACTCGACAACTCGACTGATTTTTTTTTGTTTTACTTAATTTGTTTTCTTTGTAATAATATAATAATTTATAATTATTATTAATATACGGAAGGACCCTGGTTCAAAGCAAACTGAAAAGTATTGTCAACTAATAGAGACTTTGCTAGGGGCTTTGCATTAATTCCGCAACCATGGATAGATATATACCATTGGAAAACACTCAATATTGTCTGCCTGCCTAGGTCATTCCCAATAGGTAAAGACTGTTACGTCTGTCCACGGTACTATGATACTGATACTCTTTGACAAAATTCAACACATGATGTGAATGTGCTTGTCTATAGATTGAAGTCGTTGTTTTCATGTGATAAAAACATTTTATGTGGCCTTATTATATATAACAAGAGTACGACATTGTGTGCAAGCAACTAACCACTGGCATTTGATGAAGAACAAACGCTCGTCTGCCGCAGTTCCAATATGGCAATCGAGATGTCATGCTTAGAGCGTTCGATTCTTATTGACGAGTTACCATAGCAACCGTTTTCTTTGCATGTTGTGTTTCGGATAATGAAATAAAATAATTTTGAAGTAACCCTGTACAGATCAATAAAAGTTGAGTAATTCAGTTAGATCACGCAACATGGCCGAAAAGGTATGCCTAGCGACGTATTCAATTTAATTAATGTTGTTTGTGACATGCGATTGGGGATAATGTCACGTCGTCGTTGCCTTTGTTCATTAGATATTCCTACTTTAACCTATTTTGCATATTTTGTTGCTTGATTTAAATAGTTTTGTTGGTCTTGTTTTGAACGTAGATTGACTGTTGGTCACGATCAACAGTAACACACGTAGTGTACCGTATACGTCACACCGCATTATGACTTGCAATTGCATAATAGTAGCCACTTGATACATGGCTACACGCAGGCTGTATTAGCAGTCTGCAATCGTGATGCTATCGTGATATAATCGTCGTGTAATAGTGGTAACTGGATCTAAATTTCTTTCCGAGGAGCTACCTAATGCAGCACTTGTGCTTGAGCTAGATAAAACCACTTTGCCCTTAGGCTGCCTTTCCACCAGAGATGTGCGACGTAGCGAGGCGGTGTGCGAGGAAAATATCCACCAATGGATTTCTTCATTTTCCTAACCTCGCTTAGCGCAGCTCCGGTGGAAAAGGGTAAGGCTGCCTTTCCAACAGAGATGTGCTACGTAGTGACGCAGTGTGTGAGGGAAAAATCCACCAATATAATTATTTCATTTTCCTAGCCTCGCTTAGCGCAACTCCGGTGGAAAAGTGTAAGTGGAGCTAAGTATTTATACATACAAAATAGCGAGAAATGTGTGCGAGAGATGTGTGCGAGGAATGTGTGCGAGGGATGCGGGCGAGGAATGCAAAACGGTGTAGGAAACCAGAGCTACTGAAAGTATGACACTAATTGACACTGAGATATCGCCACCGCTTTCCCCACCACAACTTTACCCGCTTGTGCATAACTGGAAAGAGTTCGTAACGCATCCTCGCACAGCTTGGGTGGAAAACATCACTCCGTTTCACAGCGCCGCTACACATCCTCGCTACCTCGCACATCTCTGGTGGAAAGGCAGCCTAGCGGAGCTAAGTATTTATACATACAAAATAGCGAGAGATGTGTGCGATAAATGTGTGCGAGAGATGTAGGAGCGGAATGTGTGCAAAACAGTGTAGGAAACTAGACCTACTGAAAGTATGACACTAACCGACACTGACACATCGCCACCGCTCACCCCACCACACCGTACCCCGCCACGCATAGCTGAAAAGAGTCCGTAACGCATTCTTGCACCTCGCCGCTGCACATCCTCTCACCGCCTAGCTACCTGGCACAGCTTTGGTGGAAAGGCACCCTTATATTCAGATTAGCCACGATAAGCCACGTATTCAGACTATTAAACATACCATGCTTTTCGAGATACCTTCGTACAGACAGTGGATAGAAGATTATAGTCTGAAGCTTTTATAGGTATATTTTACCTAGTGAACCTGTATACCTGGATAGTATTATGAGTTAGGATGTTATTAATTATTTTTAAGCAATTCCATCATATTTGATATTATAAAAAAGACAACAGTTAAAAGTTTGCAATGAAGAGGATACGTACTTGATACAGCTTCACGTAACTTAGTGCTTTTTGAATTTTGTAATGTATGGAAATCGACTCCATATTTATGAAGTCGAATAATTATATTGAACACATTGGGATTAATATGCAATTGGTCTAATGTTTTTAAACTATCATTTCAGTTGGATGACAGTCAATCCTCAATAGAATCTGGTAAGTTTAAACACTTAATAAGTAAATGTAATTTTGGGCAGTATTAATAAAATTTATTTCAATAAATGTTAAGAAGATGCTTGTCTTTACAAACTTATCGCCACAGTACAGAATGTAAGTAACCTCCATTATTATTTAATTTTCGCATTTTCAGTTTTGAGCTTGATTCGTGCACTGCCTTTGTGGCCGAACACTTCGATTCCCGGGCCGGGAGAAATATTTGCCTACATTTATTTCTCTCGAAAGTTTGGGTGTAATTTGTGATTGTCTATGTGTGTCTATATTATCCGCAACATAGGGTTTCCTGTGTTGCGGATGATATAGACACACAGGGGCGGGGCTAGGAGTGTATGCGTTTTATTTTTGATTAGTTTATTATGCGTTCCTGTCTTGCTGCTCATGCGAGACACCTTTTTATATAGTAATAATTATTAATATATGTCTGACATATTATTGTATTATACAATAATATGCCAGCCAAACACACGAATTACCTGGTCTCAAATTAGTAATTTCCCTGTACTATGAGTATCAATTCATATGCAACATAACTCACTATCTAGAACACCTAGACTAGAATCGATTTAGAAAAATTCATTTCTTAATTTGGGTTACCGGGAATCACACCAGCGCCCACATTGCGGTCATAAAAAAATATTTCAAACCTACCGTTACATGCATATACAGATTTTTTTGTCCTACATACGTAATCCCACATTTTTTTATAATCAGTTTTTATCATCTACATTTTTTAATTTGCCGTAATATACGTAACTTATTATGTTATTATGTCGCCCACATATATTTTAACGGCTTACTTAGATATTTCGTAATATTTTAATAATATTATTTAACAGCAAGTGAACAAGAAGGACCTGTCGATCAAATAGGAAAAGGCGTAGAGACTGGACCTGCTGCTATTGATAGAGATGAGTACCTGGCAGCCTACAGAGACTTAGTGTTTGACCGCATGCAAGTACAGATGAAAAACAATATACTTCATAAGCGATTAGCTGAGTATTATAAGTAAGTATAATACAAAGTCACAGGTACTATAACATAATAAGTCGTTTTGAAAGAAGTTATTATTAGTTAAGCAACGAGATTTATTCGCAACGATTGTCTTGTGGAGTCGAATAGGGCATGCTGACGGTATTCAAACAAATATCTTTCGGAGAGTGGGCGCAGGAACATTTTAATTTAATACTATTGCTCCTTTGGTCGTTTAGAATGTCCGGAGCACTCCACCCTTATGCCGTTGATGAACTGCTCATTTACACGAAGTGCTTTGTTTCTTGTTTCCTAACACGTACGGAATCTTCAAGTATAGGAAATCAATGGACCCACATCCAATTTTCCTGAAAAGTCCAATTTAGGGCTATTCAAGAGTGAATAGACATTTTTTGGATCATGGTCGGTCACATAGTCTCTGTTATTGTGAGATATTGACCAAGCCTGTGTCTATTACATAAAAAAGAAATAGATATTACCGTTTCAGTAAAAGAACAAAAGCATAAATAGGATTGGTGCTATTCGTTTTTTTTAAGTAACGCGTCTTAGCTAGGAAAAGACTGAAGATAATGATGTAATTTTTCACGTCTAAGAAAACATAAGTCCTGACTTATTCAGTTTCTTTATGGTGGATATCAAACAGGCCTTTTCTTCTAATGGACATTTATCCAGTTGATCTCATAAATATTCATTACCGCTCACATTCTTTTCCGGTCGTCAGATTTCCTCAAGATGTTTTAGCTCACCGTCAGGTTAATGGAAAAATCTTTTGAAATGCGTCATATGTTGTACAGTGACCGCTAGGACCAATTTGGGAACTTTTCTAAATAGGTTCTGGTCTCGGTGTTCTGAGTGGATTTCATATGCCTGGTTAGTACTCTTTATGAAGATTAAAACCAGATAATTAGTGTGGTTGTCCGGTTATTACATTATTGTTATTATTCCCCCACTGAAATAATGGTAATTGACTTTACTTTTCAATCATCACCATTAACTCATCACCCTCCATTGCTGGCATTGTATACCGAGCTAATTAGGGTTTAGTCCATAGCCAGCGTTACTGAGCGAAGCAGATTGGGAACTTCTAACGTCTAACTGGGGTGGTTAAACCTTCTTCGACATGCATTATATCATGCTCTTATCCATCACTGTAGACGAGATGTATTGCTACTGATTATTCCCAAACTCTCAAGAGCACATCAAGCTTAATACTTTCGACTTTGGAACGTTCTTATTGCAGGCGGCATAATGTCAAATTTTAAGTGTCAAGATTGTCGTGCTCTGACCCTGTACATGCCACAACAGAAATTTCTTGCAGGAACTATTATGTATGATTATTTCGCTCATACAAATCATTACCGTAACATAACAGCGTTGTCTTCACAAGTATTTATAGATGAAAGATCAATTTTCGGAACCATTTCAAATGTTTAAATTAACGTGCTGTAATATGTGGATAATGTTGTTGATTATACGTATACTTATGTTAGAGAATTTCACAACGCATGTGATCATACCATGTACAATTATTTGTTATTCCTTAAAAAATAAATAATTAAATAAATGCTTATCGAAATGTCGGTTTTCAGAAAAAGGAAACTCGAACACGTTTTAAAGCCTTACGAAGGTCAAGATGATTTAGAAGAAAAATACCACCAAAAGTTGTTTTCTTATGAAGATCTTAAGGAAAAAGAGCATCGTGAAGTTGCCGAAGTAAGGATAGAAGAATTTTTATAGTATTGACAACTAAAATCCAAGGATTTAGATGCAAACAAAAACAACTATAATAATTACCAGTCTTTTAGATTGATTATTATATTGTGTATATTGTATTTTAGGTTAAGGTATGTCACATAACTTATTATTACCGAGAGTGAACACAAAAGAAACAAATCCATCGTGAAATATGCAAGAAGTATTGCTTTTTAAAGAAGTTCTATTTATTACAGATAAAAGCAAAGGTGAATGCAGTACAAGGGCAATATATGGAACAATTACAAAAGGCGGATAAGAAATTTCATGATCTTCAGACTCACGAAAGGAATACTGGAACCGGACTTATTTATTCTAAAAAGGGGAAACCAATATCAGACAAGGTACACACGTTGCTCACTTTCCGAAACTGCTGAACATTATACAGATGATACCTTACGTTATTTGCGTAATGAAATGGTATTTAGGTAGTCTTCTACAAAGAAGTGAGGCCATTGTAACGTAAAAAAAGTCACAAATATCTTAAAATATTTTCCTATTTCCCAAGCCCTGGGCAGTCAACCTATTAATGTATTAGTTTCAAGATCAGCTAATATACTGTAGCTTTAAGTCTAAACAAATTGGCTCAATAAATATCTTATCGATTTGCCTAGATTTAATAAAAACCAGTTTTTTCTTTGATATTACTAATGCAAATTGAAAACTTGTCGTTTTTTGTATACAGACCGTAGCAAGATTCCTACACGTGCAAAGGCGCAAGACTGAACAAGCTTCATCGATGCATTTAAAATACTTACGAGTAAGAAATGCAGTAGCTGAGTTAGAGAGCATTGTTAAAAAGCTAGAAAGAATCGCTCCTGGACTCTATGTCGCACACTACGAACAACTTCGAGTAGATCATATCAATTATAGTAACAAACTAGAAGGTATATTATGTTGATGCTACTTTTGTTTTAGAATTACACTAACGTTGAATAGTATGGCACTGTGATTGCGCTATCGATGGCCACGTTGAGATCTTCACTCATACATCAGCAGTCATTGTTGTGTCCAAGTGTCAGTATAAGGACTTGTTTTTTTTAACCCGGCGCCAATGACGTGAAAATAATTACGCCGACGATGACGCCGGGTCATCGTGACCCGAATTTCATCGATAATTTTATTCTAAAATTAAAGTAGTTGTCTAAATTTTAACAAATACGTATTAAGTAAAGGTTCTCAAGACATATACTGAAATAAAAATAGTAACAATAAATTGTATAAATAAATATTTAATTAGCGTTCTCAATAACACGTGCAAAATCAACATTGAAAACATAATTTTGATATTTGTTTTATTTTTAGTAAAGTATTCTGAATAATAATAGGAATTAATAGTCTTATATACTAAAAGAAAGGTCACTCAAACTTATTATTAAAAATTAGTCTTCTACGTCCTCAATCAGAGACGTGCAACTGCTGCAACTATTGCAGTACCTTACCGTATGATCCGGGTATATAGGTAGTATATGTAAAACTAGCGTGCATTATATGTATGAGATGTTTCTTTATCCTTTTTGAACGGACATACTTGACGTCTCTCGCGAGTGCCAGAGGTTGTACGGTATGTATAACGCAAATTTGCATCGTCCTTTAAATACCGCCAGCATCTCATCAATAGTGCAGTTTTCGCCTTGAGATCTGAGAGTCACCCTGAAACATAAGTTGACAAGTCCCATGCGCCAGTAATTTCACCAGCACCTTTATCCTTCAAAACCGAAACGCAGTAATGTTAACATCACTGTTTGGCGGCAGATATAGGTAAGGTAAGGTGGCAGTACTTCCCAGGACGAACTCTTTCACAAAGAGTTCCACTACTGCTAAGTTAGTTAACTAGTTTACTTTAACTGAGAAAGAAAACATCCTTATGAAATTGACAATTCTAAGAAGTTCCTTTGAGAACTGTAAAGTTTTCGACCTGTATTGGGCCAGTGTAGCCGATTAGATCATAAACGCTCTCCTGACATCAGCAATGGAATGTCTGCTTAACACAGTAGGCTTAGGTATCGAGTTCTTAGGTTTTCGCGATTGTTATACATAGGAATGAAACTATTTTTCCGGGTTTAAATCGCGTATATTTGTTGTTATTGTTATTGGTTGACTCAACCGTGATCATGGGACCTGTAAAGGGCCCGAAACGTCGGTTTGTTTGAAAAAACAAATATACGCGATTCAACCGTGACCATGGGACCTGTAAAGGGCCCGAAACGTCGGTTTGTTTGAAAAAACAAATATACGCGATTTAAATCCGGAAAAATAGTTTCATTCCTAAGTAGGCTTAGGTTTCAATTTTAATAACATGAGGTTTAATTTATTAATATCAGAGCGCGATGATGAACTTATTAAGAACAGAATGAAGTGTACAGAGCACAACCAAATATTGGCTCACATTAGAGAGAAGATGCATCACACGGATGAGATTATTGACATAACTGAATGCGACCTTGGTGATGCTGAAATTGAGTACCAGAGAGCCAGAGAAGATCTTAGTACCGTCAAGGTTAGTATAATGTAAAATAAATTGGCAAAAGCCGATAACATATCTGATATGTTTACCAGTAGGTATACGAGTGCTGAGAATGGGGCGGCTGGTACTGACTACATATAGTCATAGTGGCCATAGCCAGGGGCCTAGGGTGGCCAAGACTGCAAATCCGCCACTGTTAGCGGCATTATTGGAGCTGAAAGTTTAAACTGAAACAAAGGACCATCATCAATATGGGCCAGAAACACCTGTGCGTGTCAGCAATTAATAATATTTCACTATCTTGATGGAAGGCTTGGTTTAGTTCATTTAAATTGCAATGCCAGCTTTAAATGTGACTATTCAAAATTATTTGTACATTTTTACTTTTTGTTACTTTTTGTTTTGATGTGAAATTTATAGAATAGACTATTTTTTTTCTTTCATCTTATAATAAATTTGTGTTATCCGGTGCAAGTATGTTGACTTAATATGATGCAATTTGTTGAAATATTGTTTCTAATAACTATAGAGTCGCCGCGATAAACTTCGCTGGTCTTTGGAAGCGGAGCGTATGAAAGCTGGTTTGCTCACAAGAAAGGACTTACTTCGCGACTTCCAAGACGCTGTTGATCAGGTAATTTCTTGTGTTTAATTATGGCGCTGCTAGGCAAAGAAACGCCCATATTTCTTATTCTGGGGTCCCTTTTGCCATAACGATAACAATTCGATACGCATTTTTTTTATAACATCAAGTGACGGGACGAATGAGTCGTGCGCCTGATGGTAAGCTACACGCCTGTCCATAACAGTTGCAGTGCCACTCAGAGCTTTAAATCGCAACGACCAGAGGGGAACTGCTACTGCGCCCGCCACTCTGAGACATAAGTTGACAAGTCCTATGTGCCTGTAATTTCACCAGCACCCTTACTTTAAAGCCGGAACGCAGTAATAGTAACATTACTGCTTGGCGGCAGAAACAGGTTAGGCGGCAGTACTGCCCTGTATTTAATGTATTAAGAATTGGAAAACCATTTCTACATATTTATTACACACGATATGTAATGTATTTGAAACTGCGATTTGTGAATTTATTTTTAACGTTGCATTTGCTTTTGTTATGATATCAAAACATGTCTTTACGAGCTTTCCTCGAAAAACTACCCATTATGTTATTGTTTATCTTCATCTGACAAACATGACGTAACATGTAGCAAATTCATGAACCATTATATTTCCCGGTCGTAAAAAGGCAACTGCTTTGTTTACAATGTCTTATGGAATATATGGACTCTTGAATTTTAATTCAACTCGTTATTTCAACCGCATAAACAAAACCTAACAATCAAGAAGAAATCTAGCTACTCTTCGCTAGAAGCAAAGTGTAACTGGGGGTCTGAAATGCATACCGATTATCTTGAACGATTTCTCCTTACAACACGTCAAAAGTCGGCGCCAGAAGTTGGACGGCATAGTTTTATTAAAGATACCACCGGATGTTCGGCTCGTGTATTACCACTCAGGTCATGTAGACTCTAAAGGATTGCGTAAACGAGCAGTATCGATTATATTTCTGTGATTAATAGTGTATTTTATTGTGATAAAATAGTAGGTTACTAAAGCACAGTATAACTATGAAGTATAATATTTTATCGCGATAATATAAACGTAACTTGAAACACAGTAGATTAAGTTAGCTTTACAAGACAAATCACACAATATGGTCCTGAAAGTTTACAACTATAGCACGGTCAGTGACAGCTGACGTGCGTCTTGGTAAATAATAATAAGTAATGAGTTTTCTACATAAGTACGTAGTGTTGGTAAAAGTAATATACTAGATCGTATTTTAATATGGTTCTGGAAACTGATCCCTGAATTAGTAAAACTTGTGTATTAGGTAACCACGTATTTACGTGACTAATTTCGCCAAATATAAAAAAAAAATCATTTTTGCAGACAATAATTTAAAGTCTATTTTATTAATATGCTTACAAATTACTCTTATTCTATTGTTAATACAAAATATATTGATAATAACAAAATAAATGAAAATAAATGCTGAGTCACACTCCATGACACTCGCTAAGATCACCGACCTCCCAGGTTGCAAACCTCAGCGGTGAACCTCACGAGCAGATCGGAGTCCAACCTATCCTCTATCATTTAAATAACTCTCTTAGGGTCGTATTCCAGAACTCTACTCAATATTCAAGTCAGGATTTGAGCAGACTTCAGTATGATTTCAAGCACTGGAAATACGACCCTAATGGCAAAGACTTGAGTATGATTTTCAGTGCTCACTGCAATACTCAATTCCTGACTTGAGTATTGAGTAGAGCTCTGGAATACGACACTTAGAGCTCTCTCACACTCTGCTCAGACAGGATGCCATATTTTTAAGTATCAGAGCGTAAACATCCTCTACTATGTGAACATAATCATGGCGTCCACCTGTAGTGTTCTGCTAGTACATTATCATCTAGGTCATTTTACAGCGCGTAAACGCGCATCATCTGTTCGTATACGCGCCGCAGACGCGCTGTTGTCACGCGTGTGTATCATCGCGTTTTTTAATAGGAGATAGTTTTAATTTTGTTTGTATGTTTTAGTTAGTTTTTGAAATGAAGCAACTACATGAAACTAATTACACTTAGTCAGTCTAAGTGTAAACTCCAGTGGAGTATTATAAACTTCTTGCTTGAAACGATGTTTGCGCGCCTTTGCGTCGATTCACTACGCGACGCGCGTTTACGACGCCTGAAACGCACGTTTGATGCGTCGTGTGCATAGGCTCTTATACTACTCATTTCCACAGATTTACCTGTGAGACTCTACATGGCCTAGGTGATAATGCACAGGCCGGGCGAAATGGCACACATTGGGAGAGGCCTATGTCCAGCTGTGAACTTCGATAGTGCGATAGGATGATGATGATGGTGATCATGTGAACATCAATTATTTCATGGTTATTTTTACTTCCTGCAATATGCACGAAGTAAAAAGTAAATTTTAAAATTAAAATAACTACCAAAATTTCGCCAAATGCCACATATTCATGCCACAAGATTTTGATGTATCCTTGTTCTAGTTGGCGAAATTAAAGGAGAAGAAGAAAAGTCTTGAGCTGTCCATATCGAAAACATGTATGGAACTGCGTAACGCACGTAAAAGCGAAAAAAGGGAAGACAGTGATTATAGTGATGAATCTAATTCTATTAATTAGTTATTTAATACATAAATTAATATTTTAATACACATTATCCGACGACGCTCATGTAACATGTGGGAAAATACTTCAATTACGTATTTTTAAATTCTATATTTTGTACTACTAGTATGTAAATGGTTTAGATAATTTGTAATTTATAATCCAATAGGAGCTGAATTCAGCGGTAAGTTGCCAATAACGCCAGTGCAGCGACAACCAACTCGACGGCGACTTACTCGTTTTATTATTTACACTTTTTTCTTTTACAAACTTATTACTCAAATAAATTTATTTTGCATTGCATCACGGAATGGTGTTCGAAGAATTTGATACCTTACTGTGTAATTACTTACATTTTGAGTAAAACTTAATAAAGGCTTTTTTTTTATACTTGATCGTTAGATAGTTTTAATGTTTAAACTTATTTTATTCCATCTTCTAAGGTATACTTGCAAAGGTACCTGTAAAACGCGGTTCATTAAAAACAAATTTGTTTCATAATTAACCGACAACTGATTAAAATTAATAATTGTAGCATCTTTCCAGATTACTTTTGCGGTCTACTATGATACAGGAATCGAAATTTAGACAAAAATATACGAGAAATCCATCAGATCCGACGTTTCTCCGTCTGTTAAATTAAATTGGTAGAAGTATCGCAAGGGTCTGCCCCATCTGATCTAAAATTTACGATGTTTTAGTACAGAAATGCCCGAGGGAATTACATACTATTTACATAGTAGATATTGCGTTTTAAAATTGACTACGGTGGCTATTATAGACTTTGTTAATTAATATCGAATAGCAATCTGCAATATAACGAGCAAGGAAGCATCCTTATCGTTGTGATTTACGTGCTGTAGCAGAACATGGTAACATACTCGAACATTATTACAATATTCCTTGTCGTAATATCATCATATTAGGTACAAGGAATAATGTGATCAAGATCAGCCTGATAGTTAAAGGCAAAGAAATATTTATTAAAAATGCTTGCCACAAATGTTTTACAATTTAATTCAAATTGCACGATGAAACCAATACCGTAATTAAACGAAGATCTCGTTTTTTTTTTCAAATGTTACTATTATTAACTCACTTCAAATATCCGCTCACGCGATACATGCAGCCGTGGACGCATGCCGCCACAGAGCGTTGCGCGATTCATGCGTCTCTGGAAGCATACCACACCTAGAGGTGCCGGTGATGATTTTAAACCGATTTATCGGATATCGAGGTTATTTATTAGAGGTAAAATAACTAATATTAATTGCTATTTCGGTAACTACTCTAGCAAACCATAAAGTTTTTAATGCCTGGGTATGTCATTAAAAAAAAATAAACAACTTCAAAAATAGGTCACGACAATCGTGTGAGTGTTATTGTTTGGGCTGGTGATTTCGGTGTTTATTTATTGAAAACACACCGTAAGTAGCGTTTTTTAAGTTTACCCTAAATATAAATGTTTATAAACTATAAGGAGTAATTTCATGATAAACGTTAGAACTACTCAAAACGGAATATTATCATATTTATCCAAGTACACCAAAAATTTCATTATAGTATTTCCAATCATTTATTTTCTCGATGACAGATCTACTTTGGCAGTTTTAGGGATGTTCCAAAGTGTTACAAGTACGATTTGAATCGATTCCAATTGTGAAATCGATTCAATAGCAATGTAAATTAGCATTCGTTCTCAATCTTAATGATGTTGAATAATTATTCAATAGTAATGGATGATTTATAATAATTATTAAATTTATTATATTAGTAGCTGTTATCCGCGGCTTTTCTCGCGTAATAATAGATATAAACGACATCATTGTTTTTCTGATTATCATTAATGCATCTATGGGGAGCAGCCATGGCAAGAATAAAATAGAAAAGTTAGCTCCACGTAATAATATAATATTTACAATAGTATTTTTTACAAATTAACAAAAGAAATTGAATTATACATTTTTGTCCTGTCATTCGAAAACTAAACTAAACTTTAAACATCAAAACAAAGAGTTTACATTTATGTAAGTTTGCGAGTAAGGAGATCGCCACATCAGCCCCTACCGAGACCTTTAAGGTCGATAAGACTGACCACATATCTCTATGCACTGACCATAAACTGGTCAACCCAATCGCCAATTTGTCGAGTTGACTTAACGTTCCTTAACCCCCGGAGTGTTCCTCCTCTCCGCTGTAGGTGGGGGTACGGGTACGCTGTTGCACTCGTCCGCGCCCCCACCAGCGGCTGGCCGCGCCCTGCGCAGCCCCTCCTCGAGAAGGGAGACACATCGGTCCCCCGACTCCGAATGTGAGGCTCGCCGAACACCAGACGAGCCTTCCATCCCGGGCCCCTTTATGCTGGGCAACGAACTCCCCCGAGTCCGCTACCCAGGGGCCATGGGGGGCCAGGACAGCATCCACTCAACTGTGAAGTTCAGTGGCTGCTCCCCCAGCCCCCGCGGCGGATCTCCGAAGAGAGGCTCCGCCGCAACACCTAACGCGCTTCCGCGCGGACTCTCCGAAGAGAGTCCCTTGGAGCGCCCACCACGGGCCAACTGCCCACGTTCAGCCGCGGAGGATAGGACAAGCGGCAACGACACACCGACACGTCTCTTCCCCCGCGGCCCCGCCGCCACTGCATCATTCAAAGCGGTGCAGCCCCGCCAGGGTCGCGGAGGACAGGACGAGCGGCAACGACACACCGACACGTCTCTCCCCCCGCGACCCTCCTCCTCGCGCATCCGCGCGGTCCCGCTGACCAGACGAGCCCCGCGCGGAACGCCCTCCTCCTCGGGCCAGCTTACCACCATCGGCCGGCCCCGTGGGTTCCTCTTAGCTTCACCGTGGGATGAAATCGACCACGGCTACTAGAGCCCCCCGCCACGACAAGGCGGGAACCCCTTCGGGGGGGCCCGCTTTTACCCCTGTCGCAAGTGCGAGAGCGTGTTGCAGCGGCGTTAGGTATTAGTGCTCCAACTGTTTCAAAAATCACTACCGAAGCTTACGGCACCAGCGGTACGCAGGAGAATAAACTTCGTACGCCTATGAAAAAACGTCAGCCTCGACGTGTGACATCGAAGGACAACTTTGACGTTGACGCTATTCGTCGACATGTATACGACTATTATTTACGGAAAGAAGTTCCGACCCTAAAAAAGCTTGTCACGTCATTGTGAGATAGTGAATTATTCCGTGGACAAAAGTCGTCGTTGGCTAAAGTGTTAAAAGACAGTGGCTTCTCTTATAAAAAAGCCGACAAACGAAAAATATTGATGGAACGTCACGACGTTGCTATGGCTCGCTGCAACTTTTTAAGTAACGCCAAAAGAATAGAAGATTGGTCAAATGTGATTTTCACTGATGAGACATGGTTGAATGCAAACCACACAGTAACTAAAAACTGGACTGATGACACCGCTGCTTCTACTGGTTCTGTACCGATGGGAAAAAGAGAACGCCTCATCATCTGTTACGCAGGGTCTTCGAAGGGATTTGTGTCTGATGCGTTGTTAGCTTTTAAGTCATAAAAGACGGTGGAGTACCACGAGAAAATGAACGCGGAGGTTTATGAACAATGGTTTGAAGACATGCTACAATTGCTTGAAGAACCATCCATTATATTAATGGACAACGCATCTTACCACTCTCGCCAAGTTGACAAAATGCCGTCGCAGATCAACAAAAAGCAAGACATTATTGATTGGCTAAATCGACACGGAGAAAATGTTGATAACTCTATGCTGAAATTACAGTTACTGAATATACTAAAAACAAAAAACCGCTTTTCCAAGCGGTACGTGATCGATGAAATGGCATCCAAATATGGCCATAGAGTAATTAGAATTACAACCTTAACATTACCAATACAACGCCATCGAACCAATATGGGCACAAGTTAAAGGCTACGCCGCTCGACACAATACAAGTCCACCTTTCACGGCGAACAAAATGATGGACTTATTAAAAAATGCCTGTGCTCAAGTTTCCACAGAAAATTGGGCAGTTGTTCAAAAAACAAAAAATATTATAATTACTGATTGGGAACGACATCTTGCTTTCGACAATTTAGAAGATCAGGAGTTTATTATAAATGTTAGTGAGCGCTCGTCAAGCGATGATGATGATGAAACAAGTTCTGATTATTGACAGTAAAGAATAATAAGCTGTTCGTATTGTTTTCATTAATACCTATGTATATCTCAAACGATTATTTATGATTTTGTTTCTGGTTCAAATTCATTCCCACCACTATTTTGCTTCTATAGAATGTAAATGTGTTAAAAACGCTCGTATTTTTTTCGTTTTTATAAAAAAAAAACCATTGCAATTAAGGGCTAAAATTGTATTCAATAAGTTTTAAGTGGAATCATTGAATAAGATTAGTTAGTTGTCGTATTTTTTATACCACGCATTTAAAAGATAAGTTTTTGCATTACGTAGACAATTACGTTCTACGAGAACTGTCATCGAGAAAACAAATGGTTGGAAATACTATAGTGCTTTTTAAGTGCAGGATTTGTGGTGTATTACTGCATTTTATTTGAGATATTTTTGTTGGTAGTACGGAGGGTATTTATTTAGCAATGCAGAATAATATAAATATTATAAAAACTTGTATTTAAACTGAATGCTTTTCTTTTCCATTTTCCGGTAGGCTTATCCTATCCTTCAAGGGCCGGGTAGGTGGGGGTAGCGCATCGCGTGAGCGGCTAAAAAATATAACTGCCTCCGTGACCGAACGGTCACCATACTAGATTACCGCAGAGGTCCTGGGTTCGATTCCCGGGCCGGTAGAAATATTTGTACGACCTACATTTATTTCACTCACGAGTTTGGGTGTACTTTGTGGTTCAATACAGGGTTTCCCTAGGCGTGGCTATGTATTTTGTTGCGTTATTATTATTATTATTTTTAGAAATTATAATGGCAAATTTTTCCGAAAATTGAATTTTTCGTTTAGTAATAAAAAAATTGACCTTTATTTCATAAGTAAGCAAATATACACCTGAAATTGTCATTTTGACCAACTGACTACTGTTACAGTACTAGAAGCTATCCTACCCTTGGTATAATAAAGTCACGTCACGATGGGTCACAAGATTTTAAATGATTTTGTCATATCAATATCATAAAAATATTATAAGCTGTAGTGTGTATTTATGTAATGTAATTATGTATAATTATGTAGTGTAATTAGCTTTTGAAAATCAAATAACATATGTGTAAAATTTTTGAGCTCTCTTATTCAAGTATAAAAAATATCGATTTTTCGTTACTGATAACTTGTCATGTTGCAAATTTTGCCTTATTACACTATATAATGTAGTTCAGCTCCCGTAGCATGGCTACGCATAATAGTCGCGACGCGTGCATTAAAATTAAAATAAGTGCGC